CATGTATCCGTGTTTAAAGACAAGGTTGATTGACAGATTCAAAGCACAGTTCTGGGGACCGTATAAATACAGAATTCATTGATTAAAAAACGGGTAAGTACTAAGTGGGTAACACTCTGTTGTACAGTAAGTGTCTAGAGAGTCATTTAAATGGATGTGTTAAATTTGAATTAGATGATATAAAGTATATACTACTATACTATCACTATGTTAATTATAAAAATATTATTTTTTTAGTCGTAAATCGTAATATTCAGTTGACTGAACAGAATTATTTGAGCATATAAATATATATATCTATCATTTAGCCTTCAAAAATTGTATATAAAAAAATTCATGATTTATATTTTAGCTAAACGCCAGAAGAGTAACAAAACATTCGTGATAGATATCTTTGTCATACCTATATTTATAATTAATGTATTTATTGTTGTACATTGATGTACGATCATGGACTAAAATTTGTTTATTATTTTCAGAAAAAAATCCAACAACAATCGAATTGCATGTTATTATTATTTTTTTATCATCACTTACTCATATTTTTGTTATATTTTTTATTTTATTATTTCAACAACAATAATACTACGATTAAAATTATTCAAGGATTACATTATAGATTACTGATTAGGTTTAGGTATACGTTATAATTGTGTTTCATAAATATGTTTTTTATAAAATATTAGACTAACGAACATCACTTAGAAAAAACTAAATTTAACGAAAAGGTTTAATAAAAATATCCACTTTTTAAAATTAATGTATTATAAAAGCTCTCTATTCTTTAATATAATAACTGTACATACCCCTTTTCCTATATAGAATGGATGTTGAAAAATTTAAAAATCAAACCAAATACTATTTATGTTTTTTAGAAGTGTAGTTAATATGATTTGGAACCAGTAGAATCTAACTCCATTGAAATAGAAGTTTTATAGGTTTAATGAAATTATTAATTCACCACAATCGTATTCAATTTTTTTTTTTTTTTGTTGATAATAACAATTTATTTATCATTCATAGGTACAAATTAAAAATTGCATTCAATACATTTTTTAAATCTTACAAAATGTAATAATATTAAAAGTGTTTTGATTTTCTTCAACTGCAACTTTTCTGGTAGGAATGTGAATCTATTTGGTGTACTCAGGAGGTCAAAATTTAAAATTTCCAATAGTTTCCAAAAGCTACAGGATAAACGAGAATTTTTACGCAGACATTTTCGAACAAATCGATTTTGATTTTTAGTGTAACTAACAAAAATTACCGTAATCTCCTGAAATATTCACTGACTATTTGGGTAAGCATTTTCCATACACCATAAAATGTTCAAAATATTTTGATTTGTGTTGAACCATTTATAGGTATATTAAATTTTCGATTTTTATTCATTTTTTTTAAACTCGAGTCGATAAAAAAATGTTTGCTAGGTCAAAAAACTAGAAAATGTAATACAAAGTTCCTTGTACGTTGTTGTTAATGGAAATTAAAAAAAAAGAGCGTAAATCTACAAAAAATTTTTATGAGCTCTTAAACTTAGAATTTTGACAAAATTCGTAAAAATCACGAAAATTAGTAATTTATACTTAGTTAGAAATTCCTAAAAATGTTTTTATTTACGAGTGTATCTAAGATTAAAAAAAAACAAGATTCCTTACATGTTTGTCTACCTTTATCAAAAACAAAAAATTTTCACCGGAAAGTCAAATTAAGTTTTTATTAGCGTTTGAAGTTGAAATTTTTACAACATTGGATATTCATTCGATTTCTACTGTAGTGATTTTCATATTTTGTTGCAATTCGAAAACGAATTAAAGTAGACATTTGAAATTTACACCAAATGTTTATTCTACCAATTCATATACTTGATAAAATTTTCAAAATATTTTGACTCGTTTTAAGCTGTTGATGGACACTTTCAATTTTCAATTTTCATTATTTTTCTATAATTAATGTCAATAACATTTAATTGGCTGGGTCAAAAAGCGTGAATCCTACACTCTTGATCACTTGTTACAATAGCATTTGAAAAATATTTAAAATACATAGGGTCGATTTTTTTTTTGATAAGCATTTAAAGTTCAAATTTTGACAATGATTATCAAAAAAAAAAAATGGAAAAGATTTTGTAGTTAAAAATGTATAACATTTTTAATTTTTTAGCTAAAAATTTAAAATTTAAAACAAGGTTAAAAATTCAAAAAGTATATGAATACAGATATTTTGTACAGACATTTTAAGTTCAAATTTGGATATGATTGCATATTAACACAATGAATAAAATAAATAACGTTTATCATTTTGTTGTAATTCTGTTCCAGAACAGCTCAATTTTACATAATTACATTTAATATTTTTCCAGCACCACTGATAATTTAAGAATATTATTAATTGAACTTACCGGCTACCATATTAATAATAAGTAATAATAATATAAAATATCATAGACTGACATACAGTCTTTGCTCAGAATCGTTTTTCGTATACAATGATATGAAAGCATTGAATTCAAATTTAATACCATCCATTACAGCGACTTCCTTGTTCCTAGACACCTAATGTACAGCAGAGAGACATCCACTTACGCGCTTTTTTGTTCTTATTTCTAAACAAATCCCGTATCTCAACTCAAAGGAAAAATCACCAGCAGTTCTTTGTTTTCAATTTCAGTAAGAAATAACAGCTATAAACATCTTCAAAAAATAAAAAAAATACAGATATCTTTGAAAATTGAAAATGCACACCTTAAATATTGAATAGATACCATATATTATATATAATATATATATCACAATGAATAAATACAAGAATCATAGGTTCACGACAAAACATAATAGGTACAATTTTTCCGCTTGCTTAAATAAGAAATGCTGTAGGTATTGGTTGTTTAATTCTTTCCGATGTCTGGTTTTTAATTTTTTATGATTTGGATAATCCCAATTTTAAAAACTATTAATTCATTACGCTCGACCCAAATGGAAACGATATCCCGTTAAAATATAATAAGTCTGCTAAATTAGTGTAGCTGCCGAATGTATATAGTCATCTCAAAATCAATACAATTTGTGATCATGAAAAGGTGAAATTTATTTTTCGCATTCTACGGTTAAAAAATGAAAACACGTAGGTATCTATAAGCTATAACTAATGGATTTAACTGACACTGAACAGGAAGAATACAGTTTTGATTTTGGAGCCAGCGTATAATAAAAACAGAGGAAACTGTTTTGAACAACTGCAAAAAATACGGTATATTTATTTATGTATCATATGCCACATAAATAAAAATAAAGTTTTATAAAAACGTAACTTAAAAAATAGTTTTTAGAATTTTTTGCTCAACGTTGACGAAAACTCCATATTTATATGCTTATCTCATAGAACTGAACATATTGATTGATATTTGTAAATAATTGAAATGAAAGTTTAAATATATATAGAAATTTAAATACAATCATGCGAGATACGAACCTTAAATTACGAATAATCAGCTATAAAAACTTATAAATTCTAATTCTAATGAATAATATGATTAAGCTGAAACTCTCATCGAATACATTTAATTATAGAAGCCAGAATACTGAAAGATTGTTGTGACTCCACTCAGAGTCTCGGACTATAATACAAATATCACTTGTCAGGATTCAATTTAAATGCATTCATATATCATCATTATCATTCGATAACACTCGGTGGAAATTGGTGCTCATGAATTGCCTACTTAAGTTCTAAATCTAGGAAGGGGTTTTTATCATATTCCTATTTATTATTATTTACTATTCATATAGTATTACTATTACTTACTCCATATCAAATTGCTGATGACGTATTATTATATTTACTGAAATGAACTTAGTCCTAAACAATGATAATACTGTTACAATACTTATTATACTCAATTATTATTTCTTTAGGGTTCATCAGTCGAGTCTCATATAGGTAGGTACCTACCTACATAATAATAATACATTTTATAATGAAGCATTTAATTATTTAACCGCATTGTGATATAATAACAATAAGAATAATGTAGTAGAGATATATATTATACAAGGGAGGTCAAAACATCTAACGGGTCTGCCTCTAGCTTCTACCCGAGTCCCGAGTATAGAGAATGAATTATTGTTTCAGTCCCTCTCTAAAGTGTATAGACCCTAATATCACCATCGCCGGGCCAGGTGGCTAATTACGGCAAGGAACGACTAAAATAAATTATCATCGCTAATTGTCAAGCCACTTAATAATTTAATAACGTCGATGCGTATACGATTTCGGAACAAAAGGCTATTCGAAAGGAGAAAAAAATAAGGAATTGTTTTTTCGACCATAATCATAATCAAAATGTTATTTTATCTCGCGGTTAATACTTTTGATTTTTCAGATCCCTCGTATTCCGCAACCCGTGTTATTGTCTGACCTACGAAAAACCGGTATTTCTACAATTTCGTATTTTTGTTTCATTAAAGTCGTAAATCTAGATTGTCACGTGCAATTTAACGGATACCATAGCTGGTATACTCACCTTTAATAGTCATGTAGATTACTAAGACTTTTGTATTTTATGGAAATTCATTTGCCACGTGTTCGTTGAAACATCGAATCGTCTTACTTAATTTTAATTTATAACATTATATTAACGCATATTGAGATAATTTTGATCACCAGAAACCGCGACTGACGTTTGTCGTTTTTTTCGTTTCGGGCGACGGGCGACAGCATGGGAAAATAAAACAAAAAATGGCGCCGACAGACGGGATGATTTCGAAAATCCCGCGATCAATTTATTGGTTTTAGTGCGACCTGTTGTCGTGTAGATAGCATAGCGGTCGCTCGCCGCGCCGACGATGACTTGTGGCGACGGTGGCGTCCCCGTTGGTCACCGGTCACGGGAAGCCGGGAAACGGACGAATCAGGCAACCAGCAGCGACCAGCGGTTTATTTTGTATAGTTATATACTTATAACGCTCACAACAACTGTCGAGCCTCACACCGTTTACCTGTAATAAGTTGGTCGTGGGTGCCGCGTGTTCGTTTCGGCTTAGTGCGATTTTTCTGTTTGCCTGAGATTCATCGATTTATTTATCGTGATTTATTCGTCGAAAATCAGCAACCCCCGGCCGATTGTATTTTTTACATAGGAATTGTCGAGCTGCACAAAAACGGATTTCGAAATTCGTCCACTCGGTTTTAAAAAAACTTTTTTCTCGTCCACTTGTAAGAAAACAGATTTAACCGTTATCAATTTATCATTCGTGGTGTGAATTTCAAGTGATAGCGGTGAACAATAATAATAAAAAAGCAACACATTTTCGGGCGGGTCTGCGAGGCGCGAGCGCATCCTGTGATAAGAGATAAAGCTGTACTAGCTTTAATCGCGGCCGGTTGTCCTTTCGTTACGTAACTTAGTGACCAGTGCTCATAATTATTAAAAAAGTGCTATGTATTTTTTCGACGTTTTTAACAATTATTTTTCCGTTTACGCGTTTCTGTTGAGTGGATACGCTTAGTGTACCGATCGCCGTCACCGAAGTTTTGTTTATCTCGTCCCTCGCATCTGATTCAGTTGAACCGGTTTGAATGTGTGCCCGTGGAATTTATTTTTTCAAACGTTTTAAGTGATCCAACGACGACGACGACCATATCAAATAATCAACGCCGTCTCCGATTCGTCTTCATCGTACAAGTACGGTCAATGGACTCGTGAACTACACAACCACCGTGTGCTCAGACACATAGCCACAAGATAATGTCCACGACGCCGTTCGTGGTCAAGCACGATGGGAAGAAGCACAACATTGAACACTTTTTGCGCTTTCACCCGGGTGGAACCAACACATTGGCATTTCTTAAGAATGCCGATGTCACCGATCGGCTGTTTGCCACTCACCACTCTGCTGCTGCGTATGAGTTGCTCAAGGATTATAGAGTAGACGAGGAAGATGTACACAAACACATTAGAGAGGATGGTGATCTAGAAGTAAGTGATAAGTTTGTCTACATAATGTATTATGTTCCAACAGTACGGAATTTACTTCCAAACAAATTTCATAATATATCTATTTGGTGTTCATATTAGTAACTCTGTTTTATACATTTAGTGCAATAGTGGCAAAGCTATGAAATAAAAAAAAAAAAATTATCAAATCAATATAGGTAGTGTCATTGCTTTTTTTAGTAGGTGGTAGTAGATACCCATTCATACATTTAAATCTATATAAATACATAATAATGTTAGGCAATTAGTTAAATTATTAAGTTTTTTTTTTCTAGGTATTACCTACAGACCTACCTACTTATTATTATTTATTTACATGTCATTAAACAAATTAAATTTCACAATATTCTTAATAGATTTATTAATTTAATATAAACAATGGTTTATATATATAGCTATAATAATTTAGTACTTGTAAAACTTTTCTTTTTAAAAATTTAAGAATTATTACAAGTGTAATGTAAGTAGGTTTGTACTGGGTTAGCAGTTTAATGAGTTAAACAAACTAAAAAATAAACCAACACAAACGTTTATGAGCCCTGAAAATTCAAAATAATGCAACATTAAAATGTGTTTTTAATGTTGGGTTTAAAATAATTTTAAAACAAGTTTTGAAAAAAAAAAAATATATTATTATTTATTATTAATATTTAATATTCAGAATATTTAGATTTGTGTGTAGTCATTAGGTACATGAATGTTGTTAAAATGTCGAGTAAGTTTTTGAATTAGTTTTTAAGTAGCTAGTTGGTCATAATCCCGCCTACAATTTTTCAATTTATGATTTAATTAGATGTCTACCTACACTTCTGAAATACAGTTTGTATCTTTTATTCTTGGTAATATTTAATAATGAATAAATTAGATTACAATTACAAGTTATGGGCATTATGTACCTATATAGGAACCTACCTATGTCCTATAGGTACTATTAAGTTTAAGAACATAATACTTTAAATCAACCATCACTTATGTATAATAATAGATAAACCTAACCTATACCTATTTTATGTAAATATTATTTTTTTATTCATTTGTTTTTTTTTCATAATTGCATTAGGGTTGATTGTACAATGTGCAGTCAAAAGTTATTTAGAGGGTTAGGTATTGCAACATAAAAAATAAAATCAAAAGTTGTAATTACAAGTTCTACTTATTAATGTATTTTTTAAATAATAACAATACCTATCTAAAGTTAATGGATATTATTCTTTTATTAAGTGTACGATATAAAGTATTATTTTGTGGTACAATGTGAATGTTCATCAAACATCAATAACATCAATGTTTTGAAATAAAACCCCGAATAAAACCATATTAGGACTTCATATTATATAATTATCACAATACCTATATGTTATAAAATAAGTTATTAAAATAAACGTTTTTGCTCAGTTTTAAGTTAGGTTTAAAAGTTACATAATTTAAATATAGGTATAGTAAATTATTATTAAATGGACAAAAAAAACTAAAAGTCTTTATTACAATATATACCGAAAGTCCTAATAAAATGATCAAATGGTGTTGTTGAATTTTGAAAGTAATTATCTACCTTAGTAATATTCTTATTAAATTTCATAAAAATTTTGGGTAACACTTTTAAATATAATCTAAATAAAAACTTAGATTGAACATAATATGTAGTTAATGTAGATAGACATTAGACAATGCTTGTATATTGATTTTATATTAATTTTTATGAATTTTATAAGCGCACTTTAACCATCATGAAATTAAAACTCATGGGCATCCTATTGATAAAACTGCGTGCTTAGCTAATTATGACACACCAATTTGGTAACACAAACTAGTATGAAAATAAAATACACTGGTTTGTGTTTTTATTGATGAATTCATGTTTCTAGCAACAATATCTATCCATACTATATTATTTTTAGGTATATTAAACTTGTGATTAAACAGATGTTCATACTTGGCTATAAAGTCGTAGTGCCTTTAATTTCTGAAGTCTTAGAAATTGTAAATACCCCAAAAAATACCTTTATCACATCTTCATTGATTAAAATTAAATTGTTAACACTGTTTTACATATTTTGGACAAATTTTACATGTGCCTAAATATTCTAATTTCTAAGGCCATTTTTATTGTTCATTGTGTTAAAACTTGGTTTGAAAATAATTTATTGGAATTAAAACTAAACAAGACCAAATATATGTATTTTAAAATACAAAATAATAAAAATAATAATAATAATCATAAACTATATGTGCATTCTTCACTTTATAATTTAATAATTGCCTTAATAATTAACCATAGCTCAAGTTTGAATTTATTAGAAAAGCCTGATAATGTAGATAGTATTAAATATTATAAATTGCATTATATTTTTTATATTGAATATTTGTTAACATAGACAAATCAAGTACGTCTATATTTTAAATAAACCATAATTTAATATCAATAATATTTATAATACTTAAAACATCCATAATTTAGTTGAAATTAATTTTCAAAATACATTTCTTAGGTACCTACTTAATATACTTTTTCAATTTAGACTAGCATAGTTATTTTACAAGACATAAAAATATTAATGTGACATAATGTGCAACACTTTTTGAGGGGAAATTTACTCTAATTGATTTGTTCGTTCAACTTTATGTAAATATACAAAGTTTTCATAATTTTAATATGTTTAAAAATTATGTTAATAGGTTTACAACTTAATGTAATTTTTTTAAGTACCTAATCAAAATCCTAACTTTAAATATTATAAATTATTTTTAGTAAATAATATTCTTTGAAAACTTATATAACTATTCAATAATGGTCATTTGTGTTGTATGTAATCTTTATTTATTGGTATATGGTGTTATATTATGTGATCTATGGTTTTATGGATTATGTTAAAATTCATGTTTAAATAATAAATGATATAAACAAATAGATTAATAAATAAATCACTTGAACAATTTCATCAATTTGGCAAGGTATTTCGTCATATTTAAAACTTAAAATATTGAGAAAAATGTATGGGACTAATCCAAAAATGTTGCTGCATTATCTTAAGCCATGTCCAGACCAAAGATATTGACAATGTTCCTGATTTCCCGTCATAAACGGTTACATAAATATTTGTCGACAACAATGTCAGAAACATATGTTTTTAACAAATGTTTCTTGGACTGGGCTTTATAGAAGCTTGGTACCTATCAATAAGCAGTTCTGAATATATATATATTTATTCAATTTTCCGAAGATATTTATCAAATAAATGGACAACAGTTTCTATTATATAGGTATATATATTATATATATTTATAACAATTAATAAATCTTTATTCATTTATTTTTCATCATAAATGTACCCACATGGTAGGTATTCGTTAATGCGATTGGTCACATATGACAAGCTGGGTAGGTATCCATCTAATGTGGGAGGTCACATACAACATGAGTACCCAATAGGCAATCTTTGTGTACTAACTAGTAACTATATATTTTTAAATTGTATTATTATTTTGTACCTAATCAAACTCAACATTCCCAATTACAAAAGCATACAGGGGATGTGTAATCATTTCATAATTTAATTAATTAATTTTTATGTATGCAAACATTAAAAATTATTATTAAATTTGTGCTTTATGTCACACTTAATCTGTTACCATTGTCAATTGTCATGTACATAAATAACGGGCATTTAATGAAAGAAAACTAGATATAAAACAAATGTTTGAGTACCAACTATAGGTGGGTTATAGCCATAAATTATGTCGCTTAATAGAACCAAGGAAATTTTTACTTACTCCAATTTTCATTAAAATAATTCATTTAACATAGGTATCTATTCAAATCTAGTCTAAAGGCCATAATAATAATTTTCACTAAAAATATATATACATATTAAAAACGATTATTTAAAGGCAACATATTTGTGTTACTTTAAGTACCTAGCCACCTAGCCCCACTGTTTTATTTTTTATACCACGTTACTAAACGTTTATTTTTTAATAAGTATGTATATATGCTCCAATTATTTCAATGGCAAACGGACGAACGGATCAACCTACATTATTATTTAGTTACAAATGATGAACAATAATTTAATATGAATTGTAATAGTTAAATAGTATTAAAGTATATCCAAGTAGTTGTATTTAAGTATTTCATTGTACCCTTAAATATTAAATTAAAATAAAAATTAATAAAAATTACAAAATGTACTTACTGTGTACCGTGTATTATGTGTTATTAAAAAATATTTATCTACATAGTACATATATCTAGATATTAAAGAATGAAAGACAGTATAATGCTTAATTTGTAATAATATGATTCAATTATGTCATTCATCCACCTGGTTAGGTGTGTAGGTATAATGCGGTATAATGTATACTTTTTTTGAATCACGACAGACTCTGACCAATAGTGTAAAGTTGTCGAAAAACGATAGCTTAACTTTATTGTATGTAGTTTTGACGCCCCGTATTCCGTATTCCACCCATTCTTCAGTAATCCTCGTAGGAACTTTTGACAGCTTGATAATAAATTGAAAGGGTTGAAAATTATAAAATGCGTGTCGTTTGAGAATAAAATATTAACTTCAATAAAAACTTTCATGTAAATATTGTGGTATATATTAAGCCAAATATTATAATTTGTTTGTTCTTAAAATCTTATGTTTTGAAACATAATACTATGATAATACTTATATTTTAGATTTTCAAAAATGTAACAAGAAATGATTGCATTCACATTAATTTTAGAAAATTGTATTAAAATATTACAGCTGAGGACCTAAGCCTTAGGTAACATAAATATTATTTTATTAATTGTGTATTATATTTGCCTGTGAACACTTTTTCTATTTTAAAAAAGGCCTAAAATCGTTGATATAACACCAATAATATAGATTGAAAATCGAGCGTAGACAAATATACCTTAGACCAGGGATTCCCAACCTATTTTACTTGACGGCGCACTAGATCCTATAATACATTTTCACAACACACAAATA